GAGATTCTAAGACATTTGCCTTGATTTTCTTCTACTAACTTTCTAAGTTTTTTACATAGTGGTCTTTAACACCACTGGGGTCCACCTTTGTGTGTGGTGTGGGATAGAAATCTAGGTTTATTCTTTCTTGCACAGTGAACTAGTCCTCCCAATGCCATTTTCTGAGCAAACCATCATGCTCCCATTAATTGGGGTTGTTATTTTTATCCTATATTAACTCCCTATATTGTATGATGATATGTCATTCTCCCTTGGGTCTCTTTCTGGGATCTCTCTTCTGCCTCCCTGGTCCACTTGTCTGTTCTTGCACTAATCCCACTAAAAAAAAAAAAAAAAAACACAACACATTGATTTTGTTTTGTTGTATGTCTTAATATCTGGTAGGGCAAGAAGCTTGTTTCTTGCACCACAACAGCCCTATTTTTCTCACTGTTTACATCACCGCGGAGGAAGCACACTGATCCTCTCCACCCTTGAAGGAACAATCTACAGACATCTGTCCCCTCCTGGTTCTGGAGCCTCCCTGTTGGAAAAGACACATCCTTATCCAGGAAAAAAAGTCAACATTGCCCAGGAAAATCTGTGCAATGTCTGAGCTCAGCTTTCAGTTTCTAGAAACTTCATTTCTCCCACCGTGCCCTCTGTATCACCATATAAAAAATCAACTACAGTAGCCCAGGCACCCAACATTTTATTCTCCCTGTTCCAAGCCCAGATGCCAGAAGTGCATGCCTGGAGCATTTAAGGAAGTCACGAAGAGTGTGAGCTGCATTTTGCTCCTTAATCCCATCTTTATCCTGGAGCTTTTATTCTCCTGGTGCAAGTGGTTTGTCTACCTCCAGGCACCCACATTCCAGGTGAGAAGAGAGAAGGTCCAAATATTACTCTCTCCCTTTTATCAGCCAAACAAAAACTACCCAGGAAAATCCAGCCCATGGGTTTCAGCTGACATCTCATTGCTTGGAACTGGATCCAAGCCCACACGGCCGCCCAGATGTATCCAGGTCACGTGCCAACCCGGGCAGTAGTTGGGCCTGCCTGGTAATTCCACGGGGAGAATGACGAGGGCACCTCAGCTGCACCCAGCTTGCCCTGTGCCAAGACAGGCAAGTTCACAAAATACCAACCTCTGCCTCTTGCATCACACATCTGTCTTCTGATCTCCTGCTCGCCCTCAAGCCTGAACCTGATCAGGAATGCATCCTGGCTCTGCCACCAGCAAGACTCGGCATGGGGACAGCTCTTGCATCTTTGGGTGAGTGGAGACCCGAGCAATTTCCCCCGTGATTTTAGCAAATGTTACACCAGCTCATTACAACTGTTAAACCAGAAAGTACCCAGATGCCTAGGCATAGTAAAAATGGATAAATAACTTGGAATACATTTACACAATAGCACACTGTGCAGCAACGAGAGTGACATGCTTACAGCCATAAACAAAAATCCGGATGAGCCACATAATATACAATATTGAGCAAAAGAAGCAAAACATAAAGTAATATGGTACGTTGTATGATTTTATTTATATAAATGTATTATATGCTTCCATAAATATATGTAAATAAATTTATATTTACATATGTAAAATATATTTCGTTATATTTTATTAGCTCATAAACAGGTAAAACTAACTTATGGTGACAGACGTTATGAAAGTCGCTACACTTGGAGGGGGGTAGTGACCGCAAGGGGACCCTACCGGGTCTTCGGGGAGCGGATCACGTGCCGTGGCTCTATCTGGGTGCTGGTCACAGGGTGGGTTCTGTTCTGAGAAGATTTGGCTTATGATACTTACTTGCACATTTCTGTATGCATATCATCCTTCAGTAAAAAGTTAATTTAAAATATGAAAGGTCACCCATGGCCGACACTGTTGGCCGTTCCTCCGTGTCTCCTTCCTTGACAGTAGAATCCTGATTTTAACCAAGGAGCAGCCCTCCCTGTTTTAGGGGAGGTTCTCAGCTCCACCCCAGAGGTATAATCCTGATTGGTTCAAATCAACAAAGTCAATCCCGTTCCCCACCTGTGATTGGTTTAGAAAAGGACATGTGACCCGATTCTGCCCAATAAGAACAAATGAGATTTGGGGGGTGGGAGGGCTTTTCTGGAAATTGTCATTTTTCTCAAACACAGACCTGCTGCAGCGATTGATCTTGAAGACGGAAACCTCACATAAGAACCAAAAGAAAGGAGAAATGGAACTGGAGCCCTGATGTCCTGTGCCTGAAGCCACCCTCACCTGGATTTCTTGGTATGTCAGGTTAAAACTTGACTTACTGCTTAAGACAGTGTGAATCTCCTCTTGTTGCCAAAGGCAGCTTAACTAGCAGCGTCATTTTGGAAAATGTGCCCAAGATTGTCCCTTAACTAGGATTCTGGTTTCATCTAGAGTTTTAAAACATTTTCCAAATTTGAATTTGGAATTCAAATTGAATTTGGAATATCTGTCACCTGGAATCATGCCAGTACTATTCGACCCTATTTTTGCACCACACCACCCACTCTGGTATCCCAGCCTTGGTGGAATGTCCCCCAAAATTGTTGCGAGGACTTGCACATGGCTGGGCATGAAGGGAAAGATGTGGATGACAATTATCATTCTATTGTTTTTATTAAAGTTTTCTTCTCTCACATGATTGACTGCTTAACCAACAGCCACTTACCACCTATTCCTTGTTGGCAGAGACTGTACCACATGGCAGAGAAATGCCAGAAACTCATTTTCCCAGGTTCTCTTGAAGCCAAATTATAGGCACTGGGACCCTCTCCAATGAGTGGTCATTGAGAGCCAACAGTAAGTCTGGGTGGGGACAGGTAGGGATCCTGGAAAAGACTTTCTTTTCTAATGAAAAGAGCTTTGTCAGCAGATCCTCTCCCTCCTGCCTTTTGTCACGGTGTGTAAGGATGTGATGCCTGGAGCTGTGGCAGCCATTTTACAACCATGAGATTACAAGCCTAACGGAGAAAGCTGATGTGTTTTCTTCCCCCTGCTAGAATATAAGTTGAAGGAAGCCAGGGGTTTTGTTTTATTTTTGGTCTGTTGTGTTAATTACTCTATCCCAAGTGTCTGTAGTATTATGTGGCTTTCATAGGCGCTCATAGTTGAATAGATGGATGAATGAATACAGAGGACGGTAGAGAAGAAAGAGGGGTCCATAATGACATCGTTTAGAAATCACACCAACCATATTACTGCCCCCTTTTTGGGATTCTTGTTATGTGAAATAATATATGTTCTATTACTTAATCCACTTGTAGTTGGATGTTTTGTTACTGATAAAATTCCTCAATGTGATTCCTTTTCTAGAGTGTTTGATTTCCAAGGCATTCCCTGGAATGACTTTCTGTACCCAACCCTGAGTACACTGTGGAATCTCAGAGCTGGCTAGATTGGCACACACAGATCGTTTCATTTCAGTACTCTCATTTTATGGATAGGGAAAGTGAGGTCAGAAAGAGTACAACACTTTATAGAGCTCACTCAGACTGTGCTGAAGACTAAACATCTGTCCCTTGACGTGTGGTCCCACTCCTTGACTACCATGCCCACAGCCTTCCTGGGGGGCCTGACATGCCCACTGCCATTGATGAAGGGGTGATTGGGGGATCCGCGTCGTGCTATGGGGCCCCACATTGTGGGCCACAGCTGATTGGACTCAGAATCAGCACCTGGCCCTTGGAGCAGCCAATCAGATCTTCTCTCTCTAGGGCCTGTGAGCTAAGAAAAGCCAATAACTGGAGCTGTTACAGGGGAGATGCTCTCAGAGGCCATATGCCTCTCAGTATGACAGGAAACAGGAGAAAATGAGAAGGAAGAGACGAGGAAAGAAATACCACTAGGGGAAAGGAGAGGGAAAAGAGGTAGAGATACCACAGGCGGCTGCTTCTGCCTTGACATTGTCTGATATAAACTGATGGATGTTCTTTTATAACCCACCTCCCTTTCCCACCCTGGCCAATGAGCGGCTCCATTTTGTTCTCCACAAAGAGCTAGAGTGATCTTCTTAGTGCATAAACCAGACCTTGTCGCCCTCTGGCTTACAAAACCCCAAAGGATTCCCAACCTCTTTGGGAAAACAAGCAGACAAGAGTCCAGTTGTATTAGTGATGTGACTCCTCTCCATTCCTGGAAAACACCCAGCATGTCCATGAGGGCCTTTGCATTTGTCCGTCTGTCTGTCTGGAGCGCCAGTGCCCCGGGTACTCTGAGCCTGGTCACTTTGCAGCCTGTGAGTCTCAACTCAAACGCCGCCTCCTCAGAGAAGCCCGCTGTATGAGTGGCAGTGACTGCCCATAACAAAGTATCACAAATTCAGGGACTTACAACAACACAGATGAATTCTCTTACCGTTCTGAAGGTGGGGAGTCCAAAATGGGTCTCGCTGGCCAGAAGTCAAGGTCGGCAGGGCTGGAGACCCCAGGGGAGGGTCCGTTCCCACATCCTTCCTGCTGCTGGAGGCCACCCACACCCCCAGACTCACGGCCCCTTCCTCCACCCCCAAAGCCCGCAGTGTAGCACCACCATCATCGTCTGTCTCTGACTCTGACCCTCCCACCCCCCTCTGATAAGGGCTGATCACACCGGGTCCACCCAGATAAGCCAGAGTCATCTCCCCATCTCAAGATCCTTAACTAAATCACATCAGCAAAGTCCTTGAACATCCAATATAAAGAGATTCCCTCCCTCCAACATTCCTCTTGCTCTTGTTTTATTTATACCTGCTCTTGTTTTATTTATACTACTTACATAATTATTAGAGTATGCACACATTTATCTATCTCTCTATTGTCTATCTTCCACTACAGAAACATGAGCTTCAAGAAGCAGGAATTTTTTTGTCTGCTTTGTTGGATGGGTACCCCCAGTCCCTGGAATTGTTCCTGGCACGAAATAGCCACTAGATCAGGTGGCTTGAGTGGATCTCTGTTTCTCACAACCCGAAGAACCTAATGACCAAAAGGCAGGAGCCCAGCGGGGAGAAGTGATTCCTTTGCTTTTGCTGGGGAACAGGCAGGAGACACACAGAGTCCACTTCTCCTTGGACGGTTTATTTCTGGCACTAAATCTGAGCCACAGCTGCAGAGAAGGAATGGACTCTGGGCTTGAGGACAGAAGCTCTGGGGAGACTGAGACGCACGTCCCGCTTGGGCATTCTGGGGAATTGGTCCCCGGATACGACTAGAGAGACAGGGTGGGTCCCCTGGTGGGTAAGTGGAGCCTGATTCCAGGAGACACAGGGGCAGGGGCTGAAGGGGTTGACACCCTCCACATGCTTAGGAAGGAATGGGGGGAGGGGATGCTGGCGTGCTGGGTCCCGGGTGACTCAGGTGTTGGCCTGGATGGTGTTGTGGATCCACTTGGAGAACTGGCAGAGGTCGGTGTAGACGCCGGGTTTGTTGGGCTGGGCACAGGGGTAGTCTCCCCAGGACACGAGTCCCTGCAACCTGCCATTGCAGACCACAGGCCCCCCGGAATCACCCTGCAGGGGCGGCGATGGGAAGAAGGAGACACAGGGGCCCAGAGACACACGGGTGGACAAGGCCCAGGGCAGCGAGAGACAGACACACAGAGAAGACAGAGATGGGGACACAGGAGAAAAGGGAGAGAGGGACAGGGAGAGCGTTATTGCCATTTCACCCCAAGTCCAACCTTTAGAAGCCCCATCCGTCCTTCTCTGCCCACTCCCCCCGCCCAGCCTCTTCTCCCAACTCCCTGCTGTCCAAACATCTCCCTTGGCTGGGTCTGTGACCCTTCCTCTCAGCATCTCAGTCCTTGTCCCTACTTCTCGTCCTGGTCTGTCTCCCCACGCCCTGTGTCTCTCTGCCTCCTATTTCTCTCTTGCTCTCCCCTTCAGGCTGTGTGTCCCTTATTCCTCCTCCTGGGCTCTTTTTCCTCACTCCCCCCCAATCCAGCCTGTACTTATTCCTCCCTTTGCAGAAACGCAGTCCTCGGCCCCTGGACGAAGGCCTCTCCACCTGGCGCTGTTGAGAATTCCTTCTGGTGGGTGCCATGATGTGCAAGACGCCTGGCCTCTACCCACTGGACGCCAATAGCACCCCCTCCACCCAGTTGTGGCATGCATTTTCCGTCTCCAGGCATTGCCGAAGGCCCTGCAGCAGAGAACTGCTCCCTTGGACTAATTAGCGTTGCCTGTCCTTAATTCCCTGTAGCTCCCTATGATTGCCTTCCTACAATGCTACTCACCCCTCTTCACTGTCATTTCCTATTCGTGTTTATGCAAATTATGAATAATTTGCATAAACAGGGTCCCAGTATCAATTCTAAGGAAGCTTAAGACTTGCCTTTTTTCCCCATTAGCAAATACTGTTTCAAGGCAAACGAGCTCAGCTGCTTGGACTTCTAAATTTCAACTTTTTCATGATTTAACTTTTCTAATTATTTTTTATTTAATACGCCTGAAGAGTTTTATTTTTGAAGGGGGGAAGACTGTTAGTTAACTGCTCTGAGCCTTGACTCTTTGTAAAATAAGGCTAATAAAAATGGCTAAATGAGTAATGAGTTGATGCCTGTTAACTACTTAAAAGTGTCCGGTGATTAGGTGCCACTATTGTTATTATACTATTAATATTAATGTTGTTATAGTTATTATTATTTCTTGCTTGTAGCTTTTAGTGGTCATGTCCAGACCACACACTGCTACATAAACACGCCTTAGGTCTGGAAAAACAAGGTACTAACCTTGGCTACAGAAAGCCCAAATGGTTTAAAATGCTTCAATTTGAATTAGATGTGCTTTATTTTTCTGATAAAAATTCCACGCCCCCACCTTCCACCCCTACATCCAGGTGCTTATAGAGTTAAGTAGGGACAGAGATGGCATTGGGAGACCTGGGAAGTTGTTGCAGTTCTCCCAGTTTGCAAAATTTGCAAACTTGGCTTTTCACAGCCATTAGCATGGGACTGAAGTGCCACTTAAGACTGCAGCTTATCAAACACCAAAACTATTGATGAACAGTACATCGTGCTATTGGAGAGCTTGTTAATATACATCCCTCTAGAACCACTCTCCGAAATTACTCTAAGCAGTTTCTTGACCATAGAGTTTTTTTTTAACCTTTTTATTCCTCCAGCCCTTCCAACAACTTTGTAACCTATCTGCTGTATTAAATATTCTCTTTCTAAAATACCTAGCATAGGTTTCTCTTTTCCTTCTTCAAGCTATTTTACTAGCATTTGTTGGAAAACCGTCACATTACATATTTTGTTGGAACAAAATAACGCTACCACATCCTTGAAAATTGCCTAAATAAATAGGCAAGACTATGTGATGTCTATTTTGTGAAGAGTTCCCCTCACTTAACATGCAGTGTCTTTATGCAGTGCCCAACCTGCCCAACCATATAAAACAACCTTGATCTCTCCCCCTAGGCCTGTGCTGTCTAACACAGTAGCCGCTGTGAAACATGGCTAGTCTAAATGGAGATGGGCTGTCAGCATAAAACACATACTGGCTTTCAAAGACTCAACATGAAAAAAAGAAAAGAATGTAAAATATCTCATTCATAATAGTTTTATATTAATTTACATTTTTTTTTTTTTGAGACAGAGTCTCGCTTTGTTGCCCGGGCTAGAGTGAGTGCCGTGGCATCAGCCTAGCTCACAGCAACCTCAAACTCCTGGGCTCAAGTGATCCTTCTGTCTCAGCCTCCTGAGTAGCTGGGACTACAGGCATGCGCCACCATGCCCAGCTAATTTTTTCTATATATATTAGTTGGCCAATTAATTTCTTTCTATTTATAGTAGAGACGGGGTCTCGCTCTTGCTCAGGCTGGTTTCGAACTCCTGACCTTGAGCAATCTGCCCGCCTCGGCCTCCCAGAGTGCTAGGATTACAGGCGTGAGCCACCGCGCCCGGCCTAATTTACATTTTGAAGTGATTGTATTTGGGACATGTTGGGTGAAATAATCTGAACTATTAAAGTTAATTTCACCTGTTTCTCTTTGACTTTTTTAAATGTGGCTACTAGAAAATGTCAACGGACATGCAGCTCACGTTATATTTCCACTGGACGTCACTGCTGTAGGGTATGAGCTCTGTGCGAACAAGACTCCTAACTGTTTTGGTCACTGCTAGATCCCCAGTTTTTAGCAAAGTCCTAGGCTGCCAAGTCGGCACTCAGTACGTGTGTGCTGAATAAATGCAGAAGCCTAAGTCCTCACCTGGCAGGAGTCCCGACCCGCCTGGTCGCCAGCACAGAACATGGTGTGATCTATCTGTCCTGGGTAGGCCTTCTTGCACGTGTCCTGACTTAGCACAGTGATGTTCAAGCACTGCAGGACCTTGGGAAAGTGCACTATCAAACAGGAACACGATGAGAGGCGGAGAAACAAGGGAGGGGCAGAGATAGCTGGGCATCGACAGGAACCTGGACGCTCACCTGTGGGGCTGCTGGTTGTCCCCCAGCCAGATACCATGCACTTGGTCCCAGCAGGTGCACAACGGGAGGAGACATTGATGGGCTTGACATCCTGCGTGACCCGGACCCTTCTGTTCAGTTTGATTAGCATGAGGTCGTTGGAGTGGGCGGGGTGGTGGTAGCCAGGGTGGGGGATGGACTTGAGCCCCCGGAGCAACTGCTGCCCAGATTCATAAACGGGCGACAGGGATTGGTGGCCAAGACGGACTCTGAAACCTCTGAGAAATATGATGCAGATAAGCACCAACTCTGATCGCCATCCCCATACTCAACGCCAATCCCAACCCCAGTCTTCCTATACCCTAACCCCAGCCCCAACGCCAGCCCCGAGTCCATCTAGGTCTCCAACCCCATGCCTACTCCACCCCAGTCACAGCTCCAAACTCATCGCCATCCCATCCCCAACCTTAACCCCAACCCTAATCCTTTTCTCACCCAGAAACCATCAACATATGCACTCCCAACCCCAAACGCAACCATCCCACCCACCCCAAACTCTAATCCCATCTTCAATGCTACAACTGCTCCCAATCCCAACCCTGTCCAAGCTCCACCTTTATTTCCACCCCATCCCAATCCTCACCCACCTTCAACTCTAGAGCTGACCCTAATTCCATCTCCATCCCAAACCGATAACATGTGTATGCTCAACCTCCAAACCCAACCAGAACCCCAGTCCTAATCCTTTCCCCGCTCACGAAGCATCGACGTTTGCGCTCCCAGCCCCCACATGTGCCATTCCCCAACTCCTCATCAGCCACCTCCAACCTCATTCTTAACTCTGACCCCAGTCCTGTCTCCAATCCCACATCTATTTCCAATCCCGGCCCCACCCCTGATCCCATGTCAAGTCCATCTTCACCCCCATCTCGCCCCGATTATAAAATTAAACTCCTAATCTCATCTCCGTCCCAAGCCATCCAATATGTGTTGTGTCTCTAACCTCAGATCCAAGCCATCCTGACTCCCGTCCCCCCACAACGCTCTCCCCAGTCGAACCCCACCCCACCGCGCTCTCCTCCCCAACTCCATCCTTGATCCCAGCCCCGACTCCACCTCTCCCGCCCCCCCGCCCCCAGCCCCCCGCCCCCAGCCCCTGGCCTCGGTCGCCGCCCCGTCCGCCCTTCCCGGCCCTGTCGAGCCCGGCGTGGCCCCACTCACTGCTTCCTGCAGTGGGCGGCCGTGAGCAGCCACTGCGGGTGCACCAACACGGCCCCGCAGTAGAGCTGGTTGGGCCCCAGCAGCAGCGCGGCCTGCCACGGCTGGGCATGCTTCCCGCAGTCGGACCCGTTGATGATGCGGGTACTGCTGTCGTCCCGAGTGCCCTCCTCGGGCCCAGCTCCCAGGTCGCGGTTGCTCGCTGAGTGCCCGGCAGCAGGGGGGTTGCCACAGGAAACGTCGTTGGCAAGAACAGGCTCTGGGGGAGGGGAGATAGAAAGTGGGTGGGCGGGGCGCGGGGCGGAGCTTGCAGTCAGGGGTGGAGCTTAGACTCAAGAGGCGGGAACAGCAGTCCCAGACCTCGGTAGGGGGCCTATAATGGGGGCCGGGCCAGGACTTTAGGGGCGGGGCCAGGGCCACAGAGGCGGAGCCTGGAGCATAAGGGTGGAACCGGGGAACAGTGAAGGAGGCTTAGACTCAAGGGCAGAGCCCAGGCTCGGGTGGGGTGACCGGACTCCGACTGGACCTCACAGATTCCTGGGATTGGCTAGAGCTAAGTGAGTGGGACCAGAAGAGGGTAAAATTGGGTAGAGAATTCCTGGACAAGCGCAGGGACAACGCCAGGGCTGCGAGGATGGGCTCTGGGACTTCTGTGGAGACCAGGGCTTTAGGGAAGAACTTGGTCTCACGAAGCGGGGTCAGGCTTCAGGGAACAGGGTCAGGGCTGGAGACAGCGGAGTCCAAGATGGGGGAGGGGTTTGGGCAGGGCCAAAGCCACAGTCACGTGGGTCAGTCTAGACCATAAAGAGCCCTGACTTTGGGAGTGGGGGTTGGGCTCTAGGAGCTGCCCACAGCAAGGGGTGGAGCCTGGCTCAAAGGGGCGGGGCACGGAGGCGGGGCCTGACGGGGTTGGGGTGGCTGAGGGCTGACTAGGTGAAGTCTGGCCTGGGGGCGTGGTTGAGGAAAGGGGGCGGAGTCAGAGCTCTTGGGCAGAGCTAGGGTTGCAGGGCAGTAAGAGAACAAGGCCCCAGCTTGGTGGGCTGCGCGGAGGGGGAGAGCGTGGCAGGATTAGGCGCAAATGTGCCTCCCGAATCCTGCCAAAACCCCCGCTACGGACCTACAAACACGCAGATTGCCCGTTCCGTCATCAGTCACCAGTCATGAGTCCCCTGCCCCGTGTCCATTCACTGGTTCATATTCCTGTTCTGATGATGCAAACAAGAGAAGTCCTTGCACCGCGTCATTCATTCACGAACACGCTCCAAGGAACACGCTCGGAGCGCCCATCACAGCCGAGCACACCTGCAGCTCCGCACACAGGCACGCGTCGCCTCCAGCTAACGGTGCAGCTTTTTCTAGTCACATACGCACACTCCCCGGGCACAGACATTTGGGGGAAGCCTCGCAGGATCTCGCACACCCATCCACAGTGTCTCAGTGACATGCACAGGTGTCCTGCATGCACAGATGTAGACTGCCACTTCTGCACACAGGCACGTTGACGTGGTGACAAGGTCACGCTCAGAGGACGTTTGCACGCCGGTCCCCTGCGCGCCACAGTGCAGGTCATCCGACACCCACCTTCACACTGCCCTGTCTCACGGAGACAGCCACTTCCTCCGCTCAGGGACAGGGGGAGGAGCTCCAGACACAGGGCTGTGCCGTCACACGTCCAGTAGCGACCACGCAGCCTCAGGCCGACACAGTCACCTGGCCACCCTTCCATAGAGCCACGAACGGTCACGCGGCACAAATACAGGTACCCATAACGTTGTACCCAGCCACGACCATGCAAGCACAGCCACACATTTTCATGGTGACACCACTTTTGTCGTGCACAATCCTGTGGCACGGGGACAGGAACCCCAGATGCCTGCAGCCATATGCAAAGCCAAGCAGCCGACTTAGAGTAAGCATTCCCAGTGCCACCTACATTCGCCCACAGAGTGGTGGAGCCGCACGCGACCTTAAATGCACACACACCCAATCACACACGCAGCCTCAAAGAGTGACTTCCACCTGGCACACAAAGTCATCTGATACGGGAAAATGTAACCCCCCCACCCCAAACACGCACGGTGGCAGTCACGCGGCCACACGCAGTGGCACAACCACAAACACAGTCATGCTCTCACATTCACCCAGCCCTGGGATCATACTCAGCCTTACACGGCGCCCCCAGGGGACGGGCACTCCAGTGCCACAAAGACAGACACCCACAGCCGCCCCCCACGGGGGTTCCGGTTACCTGCGACCCCCAGAAGCAGGGCTGCGATCAGAGCACCCAGCGTCCCCGTCCAGGCAGGTCCTGCGGTCGCCATGGCTGCTGCACCTGGGTGGGGGCGTGTCGGAGAGTGCGGGACCCCGGCGGTTCTGCGAGCTCTTAACCCTCCTCTTCCTCCCTTACTTCATTCCCTGGGGCAGAGAGGAACCGCAAGGACACTGCCCACCGTCAGGGCTGAGTGGAGGCCCAGGCGCTGTGAAGTTGAAGAAGGCTCTAGCAGCCTCCAGCCGGGGCGGGAGCGAGGACCGAGAGGGATGGAGTACCAGAGCCAGACACCTCCCCCACCCGCCTGCTGAGCGCTGAGCCTGCCCCCACCCCGGACTCACCTGCCTCTTCCCCAGGTAGGGGTGGGGGACCCGCTCTCAGCTCCGCCACGGACTTCTGGGGCCAGTGCCTTCTTGCCGCCGCCGCCTCCCCGGCTCTGGGCACCCGGCCTGGGTTATAACCACCCACTGGTCCCCCGGGCGCATTCCCGGGTAGTGAGGCGCCCGGTCCGGCCTTAGCAATCACTCCTCCGGCTCCCCTCACCTCCGCCCTGGAGCACCCAGTCCCCACGCCACTCCCGGCCTCGCCGGCTGCGGAGGATGGGGAGGGGTCTCGGGAGTCAGACCCGCCCGTCCCGCCCCCCCAGCCCCGCGGGGGTCCTGCTGCTCGCCAGCTCTGGGGCGCTCTTCTGGGGGCCAGGGCTTCTTTCTTCCTTCTCTGCGCCTTTCACCCACTCCACCTCCCTCTGCACCCTCTTTACGCATCTTTCCATCTTTGCCTCTTGTTTTTCAGTCTCTCCTCCCATCTCTGGGGTTCCTCCCACCCCAATCTTTCTATCTCAGTATCTGCACCCACTTAGTCACTTATGCTCTCCCTCACCTTAGGAACCCTGTTTCTCTCTTTTCGTGTCCCAAGTGTGTCTGTCTCCTCATCCCTCCCTGTCTCTCTGTGTCTCTGTGATTCTCTCTTTTTAAATTGTTCTGAATGATTTATTTGTCAGATATACCTTACAATGCTTAAGCTTTTTATTTTCCTTTATTTGACTTTTTAAAATAACTTTTTGGAGGTATGATTGAGGTATAATAGACTGTGCAGATTTAAAGTGCAGAATTTGACACACACACAGTCAAACAAACCATCACTGTTATGAAGGTAATAGACATACCCATCAATCACCCCTAAAGAGTCTTCCTGCCCATTTATGTGCATCTGAGAGTCCCTATAAATCTCTTTCTTTACAACTCTGTGGCTTTGTATCTTTCTCTCTCTATCTTGTGCCCAAATGCTTTATCTTATGCCAAATGCTTCCCTCTTTTCTCTGTAGCTCTGATTCCTCCCTCCCTTCCCCCTCCCCTGCATTTTGGGCAGGGGAGACTTAGGCCACTTTGCAGAGGAATCTCCCAGCCTCTCCTGCCCTCACCCTGAGGCCCAGGCCATGGGGCAGAAAGGGGCAGGGCTCCCATCTGGGCCCCCCTCCCCCCCAGCAGGTGCTGTGGCCCAGCTGGTATAGCCAGACGGGGGTGAGAGAGCTGGGCAGGGCCACCTATTGATGGAAAAAGAGGTCAAGGAGCCAGAATAGGGGAGGGTGGCCCTGACCTTTTGGGAAATGGGTTTTAGGTGGGGAGCCTGAAAGGTGGCTTCTCCCTCCCCCAGTCCTATGTCATCTGAGGCTACCTCTCCTGATCTCTTCTCCAACCCCCTCTTCTCTCTGTCTACCTCCAGCTCTCTGCATCTGTCTCTGACTGTGCCTCTATGTCTCTGTCCCCACCAGGAGCTGACAGCTAAATATTCCTCTGCAGTGTGCCAGATGTGTCTGGGAACAAAAGACCAAAGACACTGAAGATGCTGCCCTGGCTGAGCTCTCATTCCTTGAGGGCAAGAGCTGAGCTATCTTGCTCACACCTGTCACCCAGCACCTGTTAAATGGGAGGTTTTAGAGACCCTGAGGCTGGTTTTAGTACACAGGAAAAAAAAAAATCCCAAACAACAAAAACCTATTCTAAGGCTTACTTTGATTATGGAAATTAACATTTCACATATTCAAGTGATAAAACCAACAACCTACTTCCTTAGTCTTTGAGTCTAGCTTATAACCCTGTTTATTCTTGAGATATCTTAACAGTTGCTCTTACAAGGGCTTTATAATAATGTTTGGTCCCATATTCAAACCAAGTTAATTAAAGGCCTTGAAACATTTTAAACTTCATTTCCAAAACCAACACATGCCATCTTTTCTGGAAGTCCTTCAAGCTTCAGACAAAACTTCCAGAGAGTTTAAGTAAGTTTGCATAATACATCTAAGTATATCATACTTATAAATGTGATCGACATTGTATTCTTCCAAATAATCTAATATTGGATATAAACTTGGCACAATGCCTTCTTAAAAATCACAAACCAATTTAACATTTCAAGCTCAAGTCCCAAGGCTGTTCCTATAATAGATAAAATTCTCTTAGACATACAAGCACATTAAATAAAATGTATGAAGATTCTGCTTTAAAAAAATTCACACTGAGGGTTGGGCTTTTAAACATTTCTATTCTCAATTCTAAAACATATCAGCATTGAAAGATAATTGAAAGCAGTGAGGAGCCCCCTGGTATTTAAATTCTGGCTTAGCCACCTACTAGCTGTAGACTTTGAGCATGCCATGGACCCTCTCTGTTCCTCAGTTTCCCTATATGTAAAATGAGAAAAATAATGGTATTGACCTTACAGGCTTCCTAGGATGATCAAGTGAGTTAATATATGTAAAGTACTTAGAATAGTACCTGGAATGTGCTAAGAAGTGTTTCAAAATTATTATTATTATTGCTATTGTGACTGTCATTGTTCTTATTATCCATTAAGGAAGACAGTTTCTTTTCAATGAACTGAAGTTGATTCTGGTGTGGACAGTCATTGATTGGGTTCCTGCTGGTGACCCTGGTGAATTTTGTGGCTCTATTTGTCATTCATAGCTTCCGGAGGAGGTTGGTCGAGATGAGCCTAGGCCATTCACATGACATCATATTTCCATCTACTCACTTCCTTCCGTGATGTGCTCTTGCATTGCTTTAATTCTTAAGATCTTTCTACTGCCCAGACCTAACGGTGTCCTTCCTTTTCTCCAGGCCCTCAGGATCAAGTCCAAGTGCTTGTGCCCGGCACTCAATGGCATAGTCTTCCACTGACCTACATTTCCAGCCACGTCACCCATTTCTCCTGCCTCAAACCCCAGCCTCCACCACCCAGGACGATTTGCAGGTGTTCTCACACCTCCAGGCTCTTCCACCTGTCATTTCCTCTATGAGAATGCCATCACCCAAACTTCTTCCTATGGTGACTCAGATCCAGCCTTCCTTCTCCAGCCCTCCCAGTCCCAGCCCCAGCTCAACCCTGCACCATGGCCTCAACCTTCTCTCCGGCCCCCGGCTTCTAGTCTTTCCCCTCTGGTGTACCCTGTACCTGGCCCCAGTGCTGCTCCTGCTCACAACCCTTCCATGGCTCCCAGTGGCCCTCAAGAGAAAGTCCTAGCCTTTCAAGTTGACATCCGAGGACTGTCAGGATCTGTCCCCTGCCATCTTCTCCCATCACTCTTACCCACACACAGTGGCGCCCCTACTCTCTCACCTCCCTGTTTTGGCTGCTACAAAGGGAATTTAGGAGAGAGCTCCAGCCCTTACTTCCTGGAGGGAAGGGAAAAAAATCAAATTGGGCTGTTGAAGGAGAACTGAGAATATCTGGGTTTCAGGGAGACAGAACTGGGATCAAAGCAGAAAAACACCACTCATAATAAAATTCACTCTTTATTGAGCACCTGGTGGGCCAGGCACTGTTCTACATATTTCACACGTTCGAAAATTGGAATCTTCCCAACAGCCACCGCCTTACGAAGAATAATATTATCCTTATCCTAATTTTATAGATAAGAAAATCTATGCGGTGAAGGGAGGTACTTCCTAAAGGCACTTCCTAAGGATAGCAAGGGGCAGAGCTGGAGTTCCAGACTTGTGGCCACTCCTCTGTAGGAAGAAAGCAAACCCTTGGAACAATCAGGGAGGGGAGATGCTTAGAAGGGATTTTCCTGTGTTCTCTTAGTGGTGGGGGAAGAGCTTGGCCTATGTCCTCGCTCACCCCAGCCCTGCAAGGATGGGGCTGGGGCGAAATCAGGGAGCATTCGTGCTCTTGTGTCACTGCCTTTATTCAGCATCAGGGTCAGATCTGGGCAGGTGGGGAGGGAAGGCAAGGTCTTGGTGGGAATGTTCTGGAGCCAGCCAGTGGGGTCGTAGGCCAAAAGTCAGATGTCACAAGTCAGGGTCAGTTGGCCTGGATGATTTTTCGGATCCAATTGTTGTATCTACAGACGTTGGTGTAGACTCCTGGCTTCTCCTTTGAACCACAGGGGATGTTGCCCCAGGATACAAGGCCTCGGAGGCGGTCTCCGCATACCAGCGGACCCCCGGAGTCACCCTGTAGGAAAGGGGGAGAAAGTCAGATACAGAAACCCACAGAGAGAGAGGGAGAGACACAGAGACACACAGAGAGGTAAACATAGAGACACACAGATTCAGAGATGGAGTGAAAGACTCAGAGACAGAGAAAGAGACTGACAGACATACATACAGACAGTGAGACACACATGAAGGCACAGACAGAGAAAGATGGAGAGAGACCAAAGGAGACTGCAAGATGGAGAAACAGAAATGGGAACATCACGATCTAGAGAAGCATAGAGAAAAAAAAAGAGAGAGAGAGAGAGAGAGCAAAAGTAAAGGTTAACAATGGAGACTGATACTCCAGCTTGCTCTGGATTACAAAAAAAATGGAGACTGAGGCGTGGCTCATGCCTATAATCCTAGCACTTTGGGAGGTCAAAGCAGGAGGATCACTTGAGGCCAGAAGTTCGAGACCAGCCTGGGCAACATAGCAAGACCCCAGCTCTACAAAAAGTAGAAACATTAGCTGGGTGTGGTAGGGCTCTCAGCTACTCAGGGGGCTGAGGCAGGAGGATGGCTTGAGCCCAGGAGTTTGAGGCTGCAGTGAGCTACACTCCAGCATGGCAACAAAGTGAGATCATGTCTAAAAAAAAAAGAGAGAGGCTGAGAGGTGTGGATAGAGGCAGATGCAGATGGAGAGAGAAAGAGAGAGAGGAAGAGACGAGAAAATGGAGCACAGAGAAAGGCAGGGAGCCCCAGGGAGAGGTGTGCCTCCCATTGTCCTGTTCAGGGACACCTTCCCACCTCTTGTCCCGAGGACAGTCTTGTCTGCCTCTTTGCTTCCAACTTTTTGTGTGTCACTTTCTCTGTCTCTGTCTCCCTCCTGGCTGGTTTCTGCATGTCCTTCAATGCCTTCAAGTCAGTTGGGCATAAACTGGATGGATGGATGGATGGATGACAGTGGGGGAAACTCAAGCTAAAATATCTGGAGTAGTAAAGCTCTTTTAGAATTTGTCTAGCACATTTTCTAACTGGAAGATATGCTAGACATGAAAAAATATGAAAAAGAATAGCATTCGGGTGTGGGAATGGAGCCTGCTCTCTCTCCAGCGAGGGTCCCCCTCCTCCAGAACGTGGTCATTTCCAAGCAGGACTCGAGGGGGCTCTGTCTGAGGAAGGACAGTCCCCTCACACCATCTGCCTCTTCACTGGATCTCTCTGATTCTTGATCTCCCCACCTCCGTCTTTGTCTCTGCAGTTCTTGCCTCTGCAGTTTGTGTCTTTGTATTTCTGCATGTCCCCTATGGCGTCTCTGTGTGTTCACTGAGTCTCTCTCCCTTTTCCTGCCTCTGGTTCTCTCCCAGCTTGTCTGTTTCTGAAAATCTCTCACTCGAGCTATGTATTTCTCTTCCTGTCTCTGGCTGTGTGTTTGTGTCTCTGTGCTTGGCTGTGGAACTGGCAGGTTCTGGCTGCCTCACCTGGCAGGAATCCTTCCCGTGCTTCTCGTCCCCAGCGCACACCATGTTTTGGGTGATCTGGCCGGGGTAGGCACGCTCACACTCCTCACGGGGCACCAGGTGGATGTATGCACACTGGATGGTGTCAGGGAAATCACCTGCCAGGGGAGAGAGGACCAGGCTCACCCCACCAGCCTTCCCACATCCCCCCCCAGCCATCCTCCAATCCCTGTAAGTCCTCTATCCCCTTTTGGTTCCTATTTCCCATTGGTTTCCCTCTTCCTGTCTATCTCATTCTTTGAACCCATTTCCGCCATCTCTGCCTCCTGATTGGCCCTTCTTCCCATCATTCTTCCTTCCCATTGGCCTGCCTTCCTCATTAATTGTCTCTTCTCCACGAGTCCTCATTTCCTATTGGTTTCCCCTTTTGCTTAGGTCTGGCTTCCACTTGTCTCTCTTCCACTGGTCCCACCTTCTTCAGTAGTTCCAGCTGACCTCTAGGACTTTCTTCCTCTATGAGTCCTTCCTTTGCTATACCCTTTCTGCTCATTAATCCATCCCTTCTTGCCCATTAATAATCCTGATTGGTCACCCCTTGATCATTGGTACTTTCCTAACTAACCCCACCCTCTTCCATTGGCTCTCCCTGTTGGCCCTTCATCCAATGGTCCACCTCCCTCATTGATCCTTTTCTAACTGGCCCCACCTTCACCCATTGGTCTCCCTTCCTATTGGCCCTTCCTCCAATGGTCTGCCTCGCTCATTGGTCCTTTTCTAACAGACCCCACCTCCCCCATTGGTCTTCCTTCCTATTGGCCCTTCATCCAAAGGTCCATCTGTCTTATTGGCCCTTCACTCACAGGCCCACCTCCAATAGTTCCAGCTCATCTATTAGACCCGTTTCTTCCTTTGACCCATTTCTCCTCTTGACCACTTACCCCTTCCCACTTGGTCCCTCTCCCATTAATGCTTCCCCCTTTGCTCTCTCAATCCAGTCCTGCAGTTGGCTCCCTGCTCTGTTGGTCTCTCCTCTTCCATTAATTCTTCCCCCATTATCCCTTCTTGTTCCCTAGTGTGTCCCGACGGGCCCCTTTGACCACTAACCTCCCCCTGACCAACATCATTTACCCACCGGTCTGCTTTCTCTACGGCTGTTCACGCACTGGCTCAACTCCCGAATTTTCCTCCCTCCGTGTTGACTTTTCACCCAGTGACACACTGGCCCCATAGTCCTCACAATTAGCCCATCCCACGGCCCATCACCTGGTGTCCCACATTCACCCTCTGGTCCACCTTCCCTTCCATCCTCCCCCTACTGACCGTCTGCCGTCTTGCCCCAGCCCAGGATGTGGCAGCTGGTGTGGTTGGCCGAGCAGTCCTTCTCCAGGAGAATGGGCTGAATGTGTTCAGAGAGCTTGGCCCGGTGTGCCAGGCGGAGCAGCATGATGTCCTGGTCATGGGTGGCCGCATCATAGCCGGGGTGGGTCACAGCCCGGACAACAGAGCTCTGCTCCTGGGAACTCTCTCTCTGCTGAAGGTTGTGCTTTCCCAGGTAGACTTGAAGGTTCCTGGGAAGGAGGAGGGCTGGGTCTCACCTGGAGCCCTTGAGCTACAGCTGATGCTTCAGAGAGGTCAGGATACTCAGGAGTCATCCAGCCTGCTCCTCCCAGTCTTCCCCAGGTCAGCAAGGGGCAATTCCCTCCTTTCAGAATAACCCTGGGGGCTGTTCTTGATTCTTTATTTCATGCCCACATCCACACTCTCCAGAAATCCTTTTGGCTCTCCAAAGTTTATCCAGAATCTGGCCACTTCTCACCTTCCCCCACCTTGGTTTGAGCAGCCATCAGCTCTTACCTGGACTAGAGGAGTAGCCTCCTCAGTGGACGCCCTGCTCTGCCTCTGCCCCCCTATGCTCTATTCTCCACAAAGCAGCCAGAGATATTTCACCAACATAAGTTGGTCCTGTGCTTCCTCTGCTCAGACCCTTTCTACGACCCCCATCTCACTCAGAATATAGGGCGATGCTCTCACCATGGCCCACGAGGTCCTGCAGGCTCTGCCCCCATCACCTCTCAGACGTCATCTCCCACTCTCTCCCTCTGTTCTGGCCACACTGGCTTCCTTGTCTTCTCACCCCAGGGCCTTTGCACGGCTGTTCTCTCTGCCAGCAACTCTGTCCCCCAGGTATCTGCATAGCTCACTTCCTCACCTCCCTGAAATATCACCTTCTCAGTGAAGCCTTCCCTGGCTACTGAATTAAAATGCAAATACTCACCCCAATAGGCAATTCCCATCTCTCTCCTCTGCTTTTTTTCCCAGCAGAGAATGCATCATCATCTGACATACTATATATTTATTATTAAATATGTACTCATTTTAGTGTTTATCCCTCTATAGCAGCAGGCTGTCCACTGAAACTCTCTGCCATGAGGGCATGTTCTCTATCTGCACTGTCCCATAGGGTAGCTACCAGCCCCAGCATTTGGAATGTGACTCACAAATTTTTCACTTTATTAATTTCAATTTAATTAGCCATGAGTGGCTGATGGCTATCAAATTAGTGCAGCTGTTCACTATGAGGATTTTTGTTCTGTTAAGATACAGTATCCTCAGTGCCCCACTCAGCATCCGATAGGTATTTGATACATATTTCTGAAACAAGTCAATGGGTCACTCCCTTGCTCAGAAGTCTCCCATGGCTACCCATTGCCCTCAGAGGAAAACTCAGGCTTCTCAGCCTAACATCAGAGCCCCACTCACTTTCCAGCCTTATCTCCAACCATCTTCTGCCCTGCAGTGAACCAGTAACTTTCTTTTCTTAGAGTACTCAAGACTGTTCTTACCTCAGAGGTTGTTTTATTATTATTATTATTATTATTATTATTATTATTATTTCAGCATATAAAACACATGTTTCAAACAAACCTTAACAAATGTTAAGGTTATGGGCATTGCCCTTGCCTTCCCTGCCTCCAGTCAGAGCTTCAAGCGTGTCCATCCCCAAGACAGTGCACATTGCAATTATTATGTATGTATATACCTTTTGTGTGTGTGTGAGAGAGAGACAGAGTCTCACTGTTGCCCAGCCTAGAGTGCCATTGCATCAGCCTAACTCACAGCAACCTCCAACTCCTGGGCTCAAGCGATCCTCCTGCCTCAGCCTCCCAAGTAGCTGGGAGTACAGGCATGCACCACCATGCCCGGCTAATTTTTTGTATATATTTTTAGTTGTCCGACTAATTTCTTTATATTTATAGTAGAGATAGGGTCTCACTCCTGCTCAGGCTGGTTTCAAACTCCTGACCTTGAGCAACCTGCCTGCCTTGGCCTCCCAGAGTGCTAGGATTACAGGCGTGAGCCTACCTCAGAGGTTTTGTTCTCATATTTCCTCTGCCCTGAGTGCTCTTCCCCTCTGCCATTCGGCTGCCCTTTCTCATTTCTCATGCCTCAGCTTGAAATTTATCTCAGCAAAAAGTCCTTCCTGCCCCTCCTCCATGTAAAGCAGATGCCCCTGTTCTTTTCCTTAGGGTAACTTGTAATAGACTTAAAGTGGTTTGTAATTATATGGGCTTTTGAGGGTTTGCTTCTTGCAGAACTGTCTGTCTGCACCTTTCTGCCCTTCTGTTCCCGAGGGCAGGGCCAGCGTGTCTCTCATCCGCTGCTGAATCTCCCTCCACTGCCCCACTCAAATCTGGCAGTTGGTGCTCGGTCAATGTGCATGAGCGAATGATGATGCTGGGAGTGATCCTGGGTTTCTCTGAGCTTGGGGGCCCCTCCCTGGGGGCTCTTTGAGTCCATAACCCTGCATGACAAGGCCCATTGCCCCACAGCAAGGTGTGGTACCTACTGGTTTCCAAACCCTTGAGTTGTCACTCGCTATTTCTGAGCCTCAGTTTCCTCACCTGCAACATGGTGCCAAGGGTCCCTTGTTGTGGGGATTCCAGAAAAGGCACATAAACGGTTTCCCTTTGCACCTGGCCTCAAGGTAGCATGGAACACATGGCAGCTGTCGTTAGTCTAGCGATTGTTAGTGCCCCAGAGGTTAGTCCTGGGCCCTCCACACTCCTCTCTCCATGCCTGCTTTTTGAATGACCTCATTGCGTCCCATGGCTTTAAATGCTGTGTGTTTCCTGATGGTGCCCTCATTTTTACCTCCTGCTCTGACCTCTCCTCTCCTGGCGTCCCTGCTTGGACATCTCCCAGGTATCTCAGACTCACTGTCGCTAAAATGAAATGTCAAATGCTTCCCTCCCCACACTCAGCCTTTTTCTTGTCCCCTCTCCCCCGACTCAGAGAAAGACATGACCAAACACCCAGTTGTCCAGGACAAATACCTGGAGGTCACCCCTGCTTTTCTTCTCTTTCCTTCCTGTTCCTTGTTGCCAAGTCCTTCTGGCTCAGTCTCAAAATACCGCCCAGGGTGTTCAGCGTCCCTCCATCCCCACTGCCACCTCCCCTGTCCAAGCCACCCTGTTATGTCCTTAGACAACAGCGGCAACCTCCGTGCCCTTGACAATGTAAATGAGATCATGCTCCTTCTGATCAAAACCGTCAGCGGCTTCCTACTGTGCTGAGAATTAAACCCAAACACTCCCATCTCACTCCTATTCCCCCATGAGAAGGTAAGTCCATGAAAATAGCAATTTTGTGCTTTTTACCCCCACTGCTCTATGCTTAGGGCTTGGCACGTATTTAGTATTGAATTAAACAGTGCCCAAATGAACCTGGTTGTCAGATGGGCTCAGAGTCTAGTTGCATTCGCTCTCATTCATGGTGTAGACTTACGGTTTTTTGCAGTGGGCAGCTGTGAGCACCCACAGTGGGTGGATGAGGACCCCGCCGCAGAGCAAGTGGCCCGAGGTGTAGAGGGCAGCCTGGTAGGGGTGGGACGTCTCCTCGCACGGGCCGCCCTGCACCACCTTTTCCTGCTCCTCAGCCCAGGCTGAGGGAGAGACGCCAGTCACCATCGATTGTCTCCATCTTACCCCCAAACTTACCCCCTCCCACGGTCCCATCACAAACCCAATCCCATCCCCAGCCTCTCCCCAATTTCCAAGCCCACCCCTCTGACCTCTTCTCTATCGGGATCCTTATCCCCAAACCAAACCTGTCCCTAAACTCTTATCTTCAAACGCACCTCCGGCCACCTTCTCCATCTGCCTCCCCAGCTCTTAACCTGGTCCCCAGCCTCTTCCTCCCTTCAAAGCCACCCACCTTCTACCCACACGCGGCCCCCTCCCCAATTCCAGCCTCTTCCCCATCGACTGGCCCAACCCCAGCCGCGATCCCCCTCCATGGACATGCCATCTCCCCCACCTGCAGCCACCAGCACCAGCGCAGCGATCAGCCTCCTCATGACGGTCCTGAGAGGGAAGCCACATGCCCATCAGCGCGCCTCGCACTCTGCCCCCTCCTCCTCCTCTCCTTCCTCCCTCGCCTTGACTTCAGCCCTTCCCATCCAGCCTCCTGAGTCCTAGTTTCCCCATCCCCTCAGAGGGTCCCAAGAAGGCTGGTGCCAAAGAAAATCCGGAACTGTGTCTAACCCCCAGTAGATTCTGATTAAATCTTCCTATTTGCCTCCCCAGTAACAAGAGGGGGCGGGGTGGGGGGAGCAATGCCCTTCCTCTCTCCGGGGCTTTTCCTCTGCCCTGTGGCTCTGCACCTGTCTGTCACCCACCCCCACCTGCAGGCTCTGGGACGCCAGTGATCTTACCTGCTGAAGGCCGCTGCCTGCGGCGGGGTTGGGGGAGGACAGCTCCGAGCCAGGGAGACCGAGTCAGAAATGCGGGCAGCTGCGGGGACCGCGAGCGGAGGCCTCGGGTGCAGCAGCAGAGCGCCTGCGGCAGGCAAGGGGCGTCCGCACCCCGGGCTGCAGGGACTGACAGACAGACGCCCAGCTCCCTGGACTCTCGGCAGACGAAGCTTCTGCCCCTAGATGCTCCCGGACCTTCCTTTTAACCCCTGTGTCCCCAGGTCCCTGAGCCCGGAGGCTGGCCCCGCCCCTTTCCTCCTCACACACGGCCTCCCACACACATTCCTCCTGCCCCCACCACCCCATGATCTCTGACCTGAATCCTAGGGAGGGGTGCACAGGTCCCCGAGTGCAGTGGGGGCCTGGACCCCCGGGTCTGAGGGAGGAGGGGCTGGGGACATGGACCCCTGGGTCTGAGGGAGGAGGGGCTGGGGACATGGGCCCCTGGGTCTAAGGAAGGAGGGGCTGGGGCTGGACCCCCGGGTCTGTGGGAGAGGAAGATAAGAGCTTGTTCTCAGTTCTTAGGTGCTAGGTCCTTGAGAAACTAAGTGTCTCAGGCCTGAAATGCCAGCCCCTGGGGACAGCTAATGGCGCCCCGGCCTCCCCACATCGCACCCTGCCCCCTGTGAGCACGCAGGGACTGGGGGCCTCCACTCCTGGCTGGGGAGCGCTCAGGCACTGGGGACCAGCCCGCCCAGGTTCAGGGGGGTTGGGGTGACTCACAAACCTGCCCGTGCGGCCTCTGTGTGTGCTGACGACCTCTATGTCCCCAGGAGCGAGCAAGCCAGCCAGCTAGCGAGAGCGTGTGTCACCAAACTGGCCCCCACCCCTGCCCCAGGCCGGGGCGCGGCCGGGCGCTATGGGGAAAGGGCCTGAAACAATCGGGCTTTGTCTGCCCCCGGCACCCAGTGCCATGCTCCCGGCAGCTCCGCTTCCCAACCTCCCTTCCAGGGGCGGCAGCTGCATCAATAACTTCCTTTCGTCCCTGGTGCAGCCCTTTGACAGCCCACCTGCCCTGCCTGGATATTTCGGAACTCTTGCCATCCTGGTCTGCCCACCTCTGGGGTCTCTCGCTCCATGTGGGGGCCTCCGTGTCCCTGTCTCTCTCCCTTTCGTTCCCCCTGATGCTCTGACTCCTTCTGCTTGTCTGCTCCTGGGTCTTGTCGTCTCCCCCAGGCTTCCCGGGTGAGTACCTGTGTGTGTGTGTGTGTGTGTGTGTGTGTGTGCGTGTGTGTGTGTGTGTGCAGGAGGGCAGGCAGCCTGCAGAAGCCACTGGAAGCAGGATGCACCGGGAGAGACGCAGACATAACCTGGAATCCAAGAGCGCATGGCAGGGACACGGGGTTATGATGAAGGACAGGGGTGCCGGGAAGCTGCAGAGGAACCGGGCAGATCTGGGGAGGTGCCTTTGAACTTGGGCCTGGAAAGCCGTGTCAGGTGTGGGGCAGGAAGAGAGGGTATGAGGACGCCTGGCCCTGGTGGGAAATGGAGGGCGGTGGTTGGTGTGGGCTGGAGGGTGTGGGTGTGTGGCCAGGGCAGGGATAGGAGGAAGGGTGCAGTGACGCAGGGAATGGGGGTGAGAAGGAAGACAGAGGGTTGGGGGGGTCACGGAGGCTTGGAGTTGTTGTGTAATGAGACAAAGGCTGGGAATAAAGTCGACCTCAGCACCTGCTTGGGCTATTTCCTTTTTTTGCATTGATTGCTCAGTCACCCGCCCCTGAAGACCAATTTGGCATTTGACATACTCATATTTGATTGCTCCCCACCCCACCCGAGCCCCTTCACATTTAACCCACCCACCTCAGCCCGCATGTGTATTTACATTTTCTAGTAGCCACAGTTTTTTTTTTTTTTGAGCCAAAGTCTCGCTTTGTTGCCCAGGCTAGAATGAGTGCTGTGGCATCAGTCTAGCTCACAGCAACCTCAAACTCCTGGGCTCAAGCGATCCTCCTGCCTCAGCCTCCCGAGTAGCTGGGGCTCCAGGCATGTGCCACCATGCCCGGCTAATTTTTTCTATATATGTATTAGTTGGCCAATTAGTTTCTTTCTATTTATAGTAGAGACAGGGTCTCACTCTTGCTCAGAGCTGGTTTTGAACTCCTGACCTCAAGCAATCCGCCCGCCTAGGCCTCCCAGAGTGCTAGTATTACAGGCATGAGCCACCACGCCCTGCCCCCACAATTTAAAAAAAAAAAAAGCAAAAAGATTTTAACTATCCTTACCACCAAAAAATAAGTAAGTGAGGCAAGCATATGTCAAATAGGTTGGTTTAGCCATTCCACAATATATACATACATATGTCAAACATCCTGGTGTACCTCAGAAATACATGCAATTTGATTCAATTCCCTTAAAAATCTAAAAAAGAAACAAGAGGGGTTAGTTCTCATACTTTGTTTAACTCAGTCTATCCAAAATATTATCATATGAAATCAAAATGAGAAAATTAGTAACAAGATCGTTTGCCTTTTTATGTCCTGGTGTACCAAGTGTTGCTCATGCCTACAGTACATCTCAGTCCAGACTCGTTTGGGGCCTTCAGGGGCTTTGGGCGGCCCCCTTGTTGTTGGTTTTTTAAGCCAGCCCTCAAGTGACTATTCTAGTTCCAGGTTTGTACTGAGGTCACGGAGCACACACGCGCAGCATATAAAATCTCCAGCCCTGGATGAAAACCAATGCACGGCAAATAGGACTTCAAGCCACACAGCCAGTTGTGTAAAAATGTAGTTTGTTGTTTCCTAATTCAAGGTAAGTTCTGTTTTAAGCCCCAATTCTGCCTTCTGCAGAAGTAGCTCTGCAGAAGTACTCCTCTGTGTGCTCCATCCAGCTTTCGAAATCATGCCAGGTTTCCCTGAACCATGCTATGCCCTCTGGCCTCTGGGCCTTCTCTCATGCTGTTCCCTCTTCTTAGAATGCTTTTCACACCTTTTCCTGGCAACAACAACTAGTCTTTCAAGTCCTTGCTTGGACATCACCTCCTCCAGGAAGACTTCCCAGAACACCACCCAACAACCTCCACCTGCCGTGGTTGGATTAGTCACTCTCTCGCGTAGGTTCCTGCAGCAGGTGCCTCCTGTAATTGACCCTGGACCAGGGACACCTCGATTGACATCCCGCTCTCCTGCTGGACTGTGAGCCCCTTGAGGGCAGGCACCGGGGCTGGCTCACTCCTGTGTCCCCAGTACCCACACAGGACCTGGCCCAGAGGAGGTCTCAGGACAGGGGTGTGGAACCTGCAGCCTTAAGGCCACATGTGGCCTTCTAGGTCCTTAAGTGCAGCCTTTTGACTGAATCCAAATCTTACAGAACTAAACCTTCTATTTTTTTTTCATCTTTTTGTTCATCTTTTATATTTTTATTATATTTTAAAAGGAATGTATGTAAAACACCAAAGAATAACATAAGTCTCAATCAAATAATCCTCCCAGATTGACTGGCACAATTAGAACATTAGTAAGCCCTTGGATAAACTGATGGCTGCTTCGCTCATGATTTAGTTCTAACTCCCCCTGCCTGACTGGTGCCATTACCACACCAGGCTGGTTGGTGAGAGTCTGTGGGGGTCAAGTACACCAGTTTGCCATCAGCTTTTGACAATGGTGCACTGTGTCTCTGAAGTGGAATTTGTGAATAGTTGCACAGCTCAAGAGTATTTTTTAATTCTGTCTGCTCAACAGCCCATCATGTCAAAGAAGACCAAGAGAATGCTGAGGAAGAAAACAGATTTTTTAAAATGAGGATTGAGAATTACAATATTGTAACATTTCTGCTAAGGATAAAGATGATTTGCTTGCTTCGTGATACTGCAGTATCAGCATTAAAGACATTTAATACTCATCAACTTATTGGACCACAGATGTTTTAAATTAGAGAGGGGGGCATGAAAGGTTGTATTGCAGAAGTGAAAAGATGAAAAGCAAAAGCAAAGATGATTCTTTCAAGCAGCAGTAAGCCCTGGAAATAATGCCGCCGAAGCCACTTATAAAGTAGCTTATATACTTGGGAAAAAGGGAAGCCATTCAGTGATGCAGAAATTGTGAAAGAATGCATGTCAAAGCTGTAGGATGCTTAGACTCCGATAACATTTCAAAGTACAAACAACTGCCTCTTTCAAGGAGAACCATAACTAATCAGCAACATGAATTAGCCTTCAACTTAATGGACAACTTCATGACTTCATGCAATACTTCAAAAGGAAAATATATATTATTTGATCACTTGGGATGAATCAACTGATCCTACCGACTCAGCACAGGTTTTATACTTCATTCAAGTCACAATAGAAGATTTTCTTGGCTATTAAGAGTTGCCCCATTTGGGCACTCTTGCAAACAGAACACAGGGAATAGATATCTTCAACAACTTTCAAGATACTTGTCATGAAGTTGTACTGAATTTGGTAAATTTAGTGAGTGTATGTACAGATGGTGCACCTTCCATGACAGGAAAACATGAAGGGTTTATTGCACAGATGAAAAAAGTATTAACAGATCCAGATGCTCTCATTTCTTTTCATTGTGTCTTGCATCTGAAAAATCTCTGTGCCAAAGCTATTATTTTAAGTGACACTTTGTAACAAGTTATAAGTATTGTTAACAATATTTGTGCAAATGCAACATGCTAAAGTTGAACTACGAGGTATTCAGTGTGGATTTTCGGTATTATTCTAAAGTGCATTGGCTATCACAGGGACAGGTGTTAGCCAAAATTTTATCTCTGTGAGAACACATAGTTAACTTTTTTTTTTTTTTTTTGAGACAGAGTCTTGCTTTGTTGTCCAGGCTAGAGTGAGTGCCGTGGCGTCAGCCTAGCTCACAGCAACCTCAAACTCCTGGGCTCAAGCGATCCTACTGCCTCAGCCTCCCGAGTAGCTGGGACTACAGGATGTGCCGCCACCATGCCTGGCTAATTTTTTCTCATATATATATCAGTTGCCCAATTAATTTCTTTCTACTTATAGTAGAGATGGGTCTCACTCTGCTCGGCTGTGTTTTGAACTCCTGACTCAAGCGATCCGCCCGCCTCTGCCTCCCAGAGAGCTAGGATTACAGGCGTGAGCCACCGCGCCCGGCCTACATAGTTAACTTTTATGACGAACAGAATCAGCAACATGAATTATGGAAAGAAGATTTCTATAGAAATGCAGCATTTCTGTGTGATGTCAAATCAAAACAACTTGAATATTTCTTTGCAAGGTAAAACTAAATCTAGATGTAATATGTGGCAAAAAATCCAAGCATTTCGAAAAAAGATATCTTTTTTTCCAAAACGCTTTTTCAAAAGGAAATTTTGGATGAACATTTTCCCCAGTTAGCAAAGATCATGATGAGCAGGATGGTATATGCGAATCACTGGAATAATATGCAGCTCTTATAGATTATTAATTGGAGAATATAATGAAAGTTTCACTGACTTTGAGAATCATGACATCACACTCAAAATCAGCATTTCAGCCTCACCTGGTTGATGTCACCAAGGCACCTAAAGAAGTACAGATGGAATTGATTGAGCTCTCAGTAGATGACATTTTAAAGTCATTGTTTGATGATATAAGAAAGATCCAATTGAAATATGGGAAAATGCAGTAGAATACCCACGCCTTTGGCAACATGCCCCAAAAATGCTTTTTTGCTTTTCAAACACTTATTGCTGCGAATCTATTAATACATTCCCCTCCCTCACCCAAATCAAGATGCCCTTAAGGCCACAAATGGCTGACACCCATCTGGAGGACCAGCTGAAACTGTGGACCTCCATGCTGCAACCATATGTGCAAATGCTTTCCAACAAAAAGCAGACACAACAAAGTCATTGAAAGGTTAGTTAACTTTATT